TGTATTTTTTGGAGTAGAAGACACACTCCCCCCCCCTAAAAGAGGATGAAAATTTGGATGAGTTTTATACACCGAATGTAGCCCTGCCCACCCACCGGCCTCCACCCTTTGGTTTCTGCCTCCCAGCAATTTGCCTCCTTGCAGAAAACAGCAAACAGCCAATTTCAGCTTCAGCTGCAGCACAGCCTGATTAGCATAAGCAATTGATTGTCGATTGGATTGGCCTTCTGAGAATCAGCTGTTTCAGACTGCAGGGATTACCATTGCCTATTGCCGCCACTGCCCGCCCCATTTTCCACCCATTCCAATCCCCGCCACCTGAAACAGGCGAAAAATGGTGGCCAAAAATGGGGCGCGCGGAGGGGGCAATAGGCTATGGCAATCCCTGCAGCCTGAAACAGCTGATCCTTGGGAGGCCGATCCAACCAACAATCAGTTTCTTGTGCTAATCAGGCTGTGCTGAAGCTGAATCGGGCTGTTTGCTGCTTTGCTGCAAGGAGGCAAATTGCTGGGAGGCAGAAGCAGATTTTTTTTCTTGTTTTCCTCCCCAAAAAAGGTAGGTGCGTCTTATAGTCTGGAGTGTCTTCTACTCCGAAAAATGTGGTATATAAAAAAAAAGGGGAAGAAGAGAGGGAGAGCAAAGGTATATTAAGATTTTCTCTAATACCGAGACATTCTGATGGACATTTTGCTTCCAAAAGTTTGGATTTCAGCAAAGTTGCAAAGAGCAGTCTGTTGTTAGGAAGGCACCTGCTGGCTCTCCTGTTAACATTGTGCTGTAGCGTTTATCAGGGCAAACTCAGTGAGTGTCTCTTTTCCCCCCACGGAACTTCAGTAATGGAAAATGCATGTCCTTCTGAGCTCCATACATCATATCATGGGCTAATGGTTTAATATAGTCCAATCTGATCCATTTGGAAGTGAAACCTGTAGGATTCAATGGGGATTCCTTCAAAGTAAGTGTGCTTGACTGAAGATTCGCAGTGCACCTGAGATCTCTAAAGCACTTTTTCAAACCTCTTCAATAGCCCACTTTTTTTTTTTTTTTTTTTTTAGAAATTTGGCTCTCTGTTCTGCACACTTTTATTATTTGATAGTCAGAACATTGCTTGTACCTTTAAGAGGGGTTGGCCTGGTCATTCACATTCTTCTCCCTTTATCATATTCTAGGTTAACTAATCAATCCCTTGCAGAACTTCAGATGTAGTCTTGAATAGCATAGCAGCGTGGGCTTGCAGAAGGAGTGAGTGCCAAGCAGCAGGGATAATGAAGAGACCAAATTACGAACTTCCAGCATAATAGAGTGCTAAAATCATGACCCAACAGTCAGGTAATGAGCCAGTAAATATCAAGCAGAAGTCTCAACCAATTCTAGCAAAAGAGGAGCTCTGAATCCAAAGAGGGAGTTTGCGCTGAGCCTCAACTTTAAGATGTAACATTCCTCTAGGCACAGGAATGGTGCTGGATACATAGGAGAATTACACACAATTGCAAAACACCACCTATTTCATCTTACACATATAGACATAGAAACGACATGTAATATAGCAAAATTCATGCAAAACCTTTCTTCATTTTGACTAATTTGCTAGAGAGGTTCTAGCTATAATCCTGGAGAGAGTAGAAAGTAATTACTATTAAGTTCCTTGCATGAACAGCTTTCTTTCTGGGGAGAAAAAAATCTTACTACTGGTCCTCCATACTCACTGCAGTGCAATAAAACATGGGAAGTCCTCATTGCTTTTGATCATCAACAGTTAGTCAAGCAATCCAACCAAGCTCCTCCCACAACCACTATCTATTTCCAACAGAAATCTCTTGATTTTGGCAATCTGGCCAATCTGGCGACTGTAGGAAACACCCCCCCCCAAAAATGAAATATTTTGGGGAATATTAAAAGAGGTAGAATATTGTATTTCCCCAAAGGAGAAATGAAGAAACATGTTCTTAGAGGCAGAAAGCAGCCCCCAGTCTTTCTTAATAGCCTACAGCAGATGCCCATTAAGAAATCCTGGACCAGCCTATTCACAAACAAAACATCTTCACCTCCAGCAATGGGATTAAAATTTATATCCTTCCCCCCCACACCGGATTCTAAGGACAGGATGTGACCTTTTAGGACATAATAGGATTAACCCACCATCATTAGAATAGCAAAAGACACCAGGCTCACTGCATTGCACAATCCCTGCAGCATTTCAGAAACTGTACAAAAATCCTTGCACTCATCAAGCTAAATTTGTCAGCTGTCCCAGAACTGCACCATGCAGCCTCCATTTTATTCCCGGCTTGGAACTGAATCAGATGGATTTTTCTTCCAACACAACTAAGGAGAGCAAAACCTCGAGAAAGATTTACTTAATAAAAGGAGAGAGGGATTTGCTTGGCTAGAAGGTGCCAATTTATTTTTTATTTTTATTTTATTTCAAATTTATATACCGCACCTTCTCCCAAGGGACTCAGGGCGGTGTACAGCCAGATAAAAACATACAATACAAACATTAAGAACAATTAAAAGAATATATATTAATTTGGCCCCAATTTAAAATGACAAACCAATTAAAAATTTAAAATTTAAAAATATGTTAAGCCAGCCCGGCTTGATGAAAAAAGAAAGTTTTAAGGGCACGGCGGAAGACACCGAGGTCTTGGATTCTCCTTATCTCAGGGGGCAGCTGGTTCCATAGGGTAGGTGCGCCCACAGAGAAGGCCCTCCCCCTGGGGGTCACCAGCCTACATTGTTTGGCTTATGCCACCCCGAGGAGGCCCTCTCTGTGGGAGCGCACGGGTCGATGGGAGGTTGTCGGTAGCAGCAGGCGGTCTCGAAGATAACTAGGTCCTATGCCATGGAGCGCTTTAAAGGTGGATGAAGATCTTTCATCCAACCAGACTAATAATAAATGGAGAACACAAACAACCTACAATCAAATCATAAAAACATCTCTTCTGGATCACTTCCCCAGGATACACAATACTCATGGCTACATTGCACACAATTATCTTATTTCCAATTTATTGGTAAGCTCCATACCTTTGTGATATAGAAGATCCCACTCATCGGGATGATAATGAATGAACATTAAGTTCCCATTCTCTATTTCATACAGACTCCACTGATAAAACACTTTTCAATCATAATAACATCTCAGCTTTTAGTAGCTGCAGGGAGTTATTCTAGATGTATATTTTTTCATCTGGGTTTGTGTACATAAATCTTGTCCCTGTCAGTTACTCATTCAGAATCATCAGGATCCATTATAAATCAAAATCAGACGAACTGATACTTCTTAATCAAGAGGGTTTATTTTTTTTAGTTTTTTTTACTTGCCTCTTCCAAGATATTGAGGTGGTGCTTTGGTACTGAAAGATTAAGAGTGAAGGAATACAAAGGACATTGTTCAAAAGCCATTGTGATGTAAATAAGGTAAGAGTTGGGTGAAGCGCTACATTCAGTATTTTTATTTTTTAATCTGGGACATAAAGGACTCTGACCTTTAAGAAAAGAGGAATTTCAATATATTTAAATTCTGTATGTTCAGCAAGAGAGGTGTTTATGAGTTTTCCTTCAGTCTTCCTTGTTCTGACCTAGGCTTCCTTAGAAATTTAAACAGCATAAACTTAGTCCAGGCAAACCTCTTTAATTCTTATGGCTGTAAATTACTTTCTTTTACAGTCCGCAAGGCTTGATAAACAGTCTTTCAGAGAAAGATTATCAACACCCACCTATCTCACGTGTAATGCTGCCAAAGAGCTAATTTCCAGACGCAGGGCAAGACCAAACTTGGCACAGAGTCACAAACAGAATTTTCAAATTTTGAATTGGCCAGATGAAGAAATTGCTTCCTGCAAAAGCTCATGTCCCATTTGCTTCTCTTTTATGTCTTATGGGAGGGGCCAATCATCTCCAAGCTTTACTCCCAAGTTGACCCTGTTTCCTTAATTGTTCCTGTCTCCTGGCAGCTCTGTGCATGAGCACACTGGGAACAGGCTCACACTGTTCTTCTGCCTCACTGATGTCCGATTCTGGAAACTCCAGAGGCAGCAAAGAACTACCAGATGGCCTTTGCTCCCTGTCTGCCATCGTCTGAGCCTTCCCCAGACTCCAGGACTGGCTCACGTTCCTCCCCAACCTCCTCACTGTCCGAATCTGCTGCCAGCTCTGCTGGCCGCTGGTGGGCCACAACATTCCTCTCTCAGTGCATTAGAGAAAATAGCTGCCTACAGCAGGGTAACCTTTTAGCAACTGGGTGCCCCACTTAAATTTGGGTAAGAACCTTGCAGCTACAATGGTAGGAAGGTGATGCAAACAGAAAGGGATGGGGTTTTTGTTTGTTGCGGGTGGGTTGTACTAGAGTTAACAGAAGTGGGTTTGGCTCTTTCTCTGATCCTTTCTGCTGTGGGAAGCCAATGTTTGCATTTAAAGTTTCCACATGTTTGATGCCTTAAAGCAGCAGAAGAAGACAGCTTAAATGTTCAACAATTACGGTCAAAGAATGTGAAAGAAAGTGGGTCTTGAAGTTGCATGCAGATTTCGGGATCCCGATAACCTCACTTTTGCTTCAAAGATTGGAGTTTCTTTGCTGTAGCTGTTTTGGCAGACAATCTATATTTTTGAGACTTAGGAATGTTATATGTCTTTACACAGTCATTTCTGCATTCCTTCCCTTAATATCTGCACGCCCTTATCTCTACTGTGACAAGGTCTCATTATGCCTTCACCCCCATCTCTGATCACAGCTATGCCCAGCACTGCCATTAAGGAGAAAGAGGAGGAAATATATCACAGGACTGCCATTTTCACCTACCTTTTTCTCCTGAATGTTGACCTCCCCTGAATCGCCTTCAGGCAATTCATTTGAAATAACCCAGACAATTCTTACCACGTAATGCCAACCTGTGTTCTGAAAACCAGGTGCTCATTTCAAAGGACATTTTGTTCCTTTCCCATTCAGGGAAGAAATAAATCCCATCATTTTCCAAGAAAAAAATGACATCCCTACCAAGAACGGTCAGCCGGGCTGGTCTGGAACGGATGGCCGCTTGAATGGCTTGGCACTCGTATACTGCATCATCTTGGAGATCTGCTCTCAGGATCTTCAGGTGATGCTCCCCTGAGAGGTGATCCCCCACAACCAAATAGCGTGGATAACCTGTGGGGTACATAATGGAACCAGAATTGGAGCTAATAAGTAGCACGTATACATCAATTTTCCCACCCATCAGGAAGAAGGGATACGGTGGCTCAATGGCTAAGTACGCTGAGCTTGTCGATCAAAAGGTCGGCAGTTCAGCAGTTCAAATCCCTAGTGCCGCATAATGGGGTGAGCTCCGGTTACTTGTCCCAGCTTCTGCCAACCTAGCAGTTCGAAAGCACGTAAAAAATGCAAGTAGAAAAATAGGGACCACCTTTGATGGGAAGGTAACAACGTTCTGTGGGCCTCTGGTGTTTAGTCATGCCGGCCACATGACCATGGAGATGTCTTCGGACAGTGCTGGCTCTTCGGCTTTGAAACGGAAATGAGCACAGCCCCCAAGAGTCGGGAAAAACTAGCACATATGTGCGAGGGGAAGCTTTACCTTTACCTTTTTATATACTGATTTTCCAACCCATCAAGAAGAAATCTGGAATAACACAAAGTTCACCAGACAAGATTATTCATGTCATACCCTACAGCCTTTTTCAGGTGATGATTTTTTTTTAAAAAAAAGAATGATATAAGGACTATTTAAAAAGTTGGATCACGTCTTCCTATTCTTTTTCTAAATCTTCATTTCAAGACCCTCCAAACCCACCCAGTCTTCTGGAGCATTAAACCTATCCCAATCCTTCTTCTTTTGAAGATATTCACAAAACAGAACAGAACAGAATAACAGAGTTGGGAGGGACCTTGGCGGTCCTCTAGTCCAACCCCCTGCTCAGGCAGGAAACTTTATACTATTTCAGACAAATGGCTGTCCAAACTCTTCTTAAAAACTTCCATTGTTAGAGCAGTCACAACTTCTGGAGACAAATTGTTTCACTGATTAATTGTTCTGTCAGGAAATTTCTCTTAGATCTTGGTTGGTTGTCTCCTTAATTAGTTTCCATCCATTGCTTCTTGTCCTGCCTTCAGGTGTTTTGGAGAATAGGTTGACCCCCTCTTCTTTGTGGCAACCCCTGAGATATTGGAATACTGCTATCATGTCACCCCTAGTCCTTCTTTTCATTAAATTAGACATACCCAATTCCAGCAACTGTTCTTTAAGTTTTAGTCTCCAGCCATCTTTGTTTCTCTTCTCTGCACTCTTTGTAGAATCTCAACATCTTTTTTTACATCATGGAGACTCAAACCGGATGCAGTATTCCAAGTGTGGCCTTACCCAGGCATTCTAAAGTGGTATTAACACTTCACGTGATCTTGATTTCATCCCTCTGTTAATGCAACCTAGAACTGTGTTGGCTTTTTTGGCAGCTGCAACACACTGCTGGCTCATATTTAAGTGATTGTCCATGATTCTTCTCACAGTTACTACTATTGAGCCAGATCCCACCTATACTGTACCTGTGCATTTGGTTTTTCTTGCCTATGATTCCTCTCAAAAATAAGTTGGGGAACCCTTGAACTGGAGCGGAAGGAAGGAAGGAAGGAAGGAAGGAAGGAAGGAAGGAAGGAAGGAAGGAAGGAAGGAAGGAAGACATTTGGTGCTACTGATAAACCAGAATAAAATTTTGAAGGCAATCTGAAGAAGGAAACTTAATGGCAAAAAAATAAGTTCAACTATTTTTAAAAACCTACTCAATGGGTTTGTTTTTTAAAGTCATTCTTTCAGAGGAAGGACAAATGGTGACAAAGAAGAAAAACCCTCATCTATCGCAGGAATTCATCTTTTTAAAAACCACTTTTCAACTCTGTTCTCCCACTTTCTTGCCTCTACTGAGTGGACATTGTTATTTTGTTTAGTTTTGCTTTACTTCACTTTGCTTTTGAATAAAAGAGGACACTTAAGAAGAGGACTTCTCTAATGCCTGGAAGAGAATTTAGGCACTTCATACTTTAAGCATACTGGTAGGAATCCATATTTAGATGAATGTTGAAGCACATCCTTTCATTTCACGAAGTACCCCAAGGACTTCATTCAAACTGTGTTTGTTGTGTGGAAACTTTGTCCTCATCCCAGCATCTTGAATGAAGCTTATCTTTATTTAAGAGCTTCTTTGTTTATCAAATACTGGCCTTATATGGACATTAACAAGGGGACATTATTAACTGCTTTTAACAGCAGAGGTTTAAGTAGGATCCTGACTGGGCAACGAGCATTTTTAATTTCATCTTCCCAGTTTACTAAGGGACGGAAGGTTTAAAGACTTCCCCAAATTTCACTTCTTCTCAAGTTATATTGTTAATGTGCTGCAAGATAGAGGTATCTTGGCATTAACTTATATGCTTTTGAAGCCTTTTTTTTTCCAAGCTAGCAACAGCAAGATTTGCTCCCATGAACCGCGAGAAAAACAAATGAAGACTTTGTTTGTATTTAGTTAATTAGATGACTAGCTGAGTCAGAATTCCAGAAGCAGTCAGAAGCCCAGTTTGATAAATCAGACCCAAGAAAGATAATTGCTCAAATTTTTCAGAATGAGATGTCAACCACATTAGCTCTTGTTACCCGTTTTAAGGTATCCTCAAATTTGGGCAGGCAGAGAACAGACTGTTTCAAATATATTAGCAATAGGCACCATGCAGCTTCCACCAGCAAGGAGATGTGAAAGAAGATGGTTGATTACTTAAATCTCGAAATGCAGACAAGGAAGCTTAGTAAGGAGAACAGGAACATTTTTTTAAAATAAGCTAACTCAGCCAAAAATAAATAAATAAAAATGAACAGAACTTGGCTTGTGTAATGCCCTGAAGCTGATTTGGTCCCTCTTGAATGCATAGATCACTCCCTTCGGTATGTTAAGAGAAAAAGGGCTCTCACATCATTGCTCCGAAGCCTGAAGCAGGATTCCCATTTTATAGCAAACTCTCAAGGCTCTGTTTATAAGTATGCCGTACCCTGGAATGTTTATAACTGGGAGGCACACAGTTGTTCGAAGTTTGATTCTTACCACAAGCAAAAGCAGCCGCCAAGGGTCTGCTTATTTCTGTGGTCGGATATAAATCTGATAAAGTTGTATTATTCTCGATTAAACTTGTATAAGTATTGTACAAGTTTAAAAGGGTGCGCTAGTCTCTCGAGGACTTGGCTGGCTCACAACAAAATTAAAGAAATGCACACGGTATTCAGAGCAAGGATGGTCAGTCTTAGCCTCCTTCCTCTAGTGCCTTCTGAGATCAGGAGATAGGATTTCTGCAGTGGAAAACAAAAGAAGTAAGGTAGGGCTTTATTATATTTTATTTTAATCCCATCTTTATTACTTTATAATGTAAAGGCAGTGAATCAGGGGTGAAATCTAGCAGGTTCTGACAGGTTCTGGAAAACCGGTAGCGGAAATTTTGAGTAGTTTGGAGAACCGGCAAATACCACCTCTGGCTGGTCCCAGAATGGGGTGGGAATGGAGATTTTGCAATATCCTTCCCCCAAGAGTGAGGAGGAAATGGGGATTTTGCAGTATCCTTCCACTGCCATGTCCCCCCAAAGCCACGCCCCCAAGCCATGCCACGCCCCCCCCAGCCACACCCACAGAACCGGTAGTGAAAATATTTGAATTTCACTATCTCAGTGAATGTATATAATACTCCTTCCTACTTTGTGAGATGAGTTGGACAGAGAGAGAGAGGGACTGGTCCAAAGGCACTCAGCTGGCATTGATGCCTAAGGTATGACTAGAACTCACAGGCTCCTGGTGATTGGCTCAAAGTCACCCAGCTGGCTTTCATGGCTGAGGTGGGACTAGAACTCCTGGTCTCTAGCCTGGTGCCTTAACCACTAGACCAAACTGGTTCTCAGTGCACCTAAGCACTTCCATAAAGACAAATGTTTGAAAATCAGGAAAGAACCAAAATAGCCTGGTCTTAACCACTTCAGTGAGAGACAGTTTGGTCTAGTAGATAAGGCACTGGACCAAAGCTGGGGAAAAGGGTATTCTAGAACATTGGGTGCTGTCTAACAAAATGAAATACAATGGTGAAAAAAGTAAGGTTCTACATTTAGGCAAGAAAAACAAAATGAGTATACGTGGTACCCGGCTCAATAGTAGTAATCGTGATCTTGGAGTCCTAGTGGACAATCATTTAAATATGAGCCAGCCGTGTGCTGCAGCTGCCAAAAAAGCCAACACAGTTCTAGGCTGCATAAACAGAAGGATAGAATCAAGATCACGTGAAGTGTTAATGCCACTTTATAATGCCTTGGTAAGGCCACACTTGGAATACTGCATCCAGTTTTGGTCGCCACGATGTAAAAAAGATGTTGAGACTCTAAAAAGAGTGCAGAGAAGAGCAGCAAAGATGATTAGGGGACTGGAGGCTAAAACATATAAAGAACGGTTGCTGGAATTGGGTATTTTACTTTAATGAAAAGGATTAGGGGTGACATGATAGCTGTCAGAATATTCATGACTGGGAAGGCATGGTAATAAGGTCAGCCAATGAGGGCTGTTTTGGAAACAGAAACTTAAGCAAGAAGGCTGGGCGTGGCTCAGCTCTGAGTCTGTGCGAAAGCTGCAAGCTAGTCTGCAACTCTGAAGTCTGCTGTACTCTGCTTGTGTTTTGCTTGTAACTCTCTACCATGTTAGAAGAATCAGCTATTGGTATTGTAAATTTATCTTCATGTGTTATATGTATATAAAGAAGTTAATGAATTCAGCTGAATCAGCTGTCTGTGTTTGCTTTCTGGATTTGATTATTTCTGCAACAAACTCTGACAAGAGCAGTGTTCCAATATCTCAGGGGCTGCCACAAAGAAGAGGGAGTCAAGCTATTCTCCAAAGCACCTGAGGGCAGGATAAGAAGCAATGGGTGGAAACTAATCAAGGAGAGAAACAACCTAGAACTAAGGAGAAATTTCCTGACAGTTAGAACAATTAATCAGTGGAATAATTTATCTCCAGAAGTTGTGAATTCTCCAACACTGGCAGTTTTTAAGAAGAGATTGGATAACCATTGGTCTGAAATGGTATAGGGCAGTGATGGCTAACCTTTTTGCCATCGCATGCCAAAAGCAGGGGGAGCACGGGGGGGGGTGTGTCATGTGCATGTGTGCCCATACCCATAATTCAATGCACCCCACGCATGCTCATGTTCCCTCCGCTTTTTGCATGTGATGGCACAGTGGAGCCGGTAGGCCTGTTTTTCACCCTCCCCAGGCTCCAGAGGCTTCCTTGGAGCCTTGGGAGGGCGAAAACAGGCTTCCCACCCCTCTGGAGGCCAAAAAAGGCCCATTTGCCAACTTCTAGTGGGCCTGGAAGGCCCAAAACTCAGATGCGCGTGCTGGAGCTGAGCTAGGGCAACACTCGCATGCCCAACGATATGGCTCCGCGTGCCACCTGTGGCAAGCATGCCATAGGTTCGCCATCACGGGTATACGGTTTCTTGCCTAAGCAGGGGGTTGGACTAGAAGACCTCCAAGGTCCCTTCCAACTCTGTTATTCTAATTCTAGTTCTGCACAAAGCCGTTGGAAAATCTTTGGCCTGTCACTTTCTCTCAGACACAAGGAAAAGGCACTGGCAAACCACTTCCAAAAATCTATCTAAGAAAACTGGGATACCTATGTAGTTACTGGGCCTTGAAGGCACAGCTACCCAGCCACAAAAAGCATGATTATTTCCCAGCTTGTAGTTGTTGTCAAAACTATGGATAAACATATAACTAGGGAAAGGTGTTTGCCTTGTCGTGAGAAGAGATGTGTGTGTGCATTGCGTATGTTAGAAATTCACTGTGTTGTTCTTGATTAGCATCTAATAGGAGCCGTCTGGGGTAGGTAAGAATCAATCTAACCAAATCATCACCATCTTCTTTTAACAACCTCGTAATCCCTTGCGGGGTGGAGTCTGGGCAACTGAATGGAGCTAGCAGAGTGTTTTAATGGCAGGATGCCCTTCCTGTCACCAATGTGGAGTTTTGTTCAGCAGATATATTCTCAGTGTGCCTGGAGAGAGAAATATCTGCCTCTACCTAGGATCGAACTCACAGCCTCCTGACTGGGAGGCGAGAGCTCCACCTCTAGGCCACTGCAACACTCCTGATCTGGCCAAATGAGAAGTAAAAATATTTAACAAACAAATAAGAGTTGCTTGACAGTGAGATGGGCAGCATATACATTTAATGAATAAATAACAATTAAATATATATATATATATTCTTACTGGAGAGATCCCTTCCTACTCCAAGGGCGAGTCCATCTTTAATCCATAGCACAATTCCATTATATTCAGGAATAGCACACAGGAGGGTCACAGGTTGTCCAGCAATCACCACTTGGTCCTGAGGTTGCTGAGTAAAAGAAGATGCTGAACCTGGAGAAAGAGATAAGAAGCAGAATGAATGTTTGAACTTGGACTCTGGGAGCTCTAAATGCTTGAAACACTAATGGATGAAGTTTTTCGCACCTGAAAAGCAGAATAAGATCTTTGAACATCATCAAATTATTTCACTTCCAAAGTTTCCATAATACACATTGAATTAGTGCTGTTGGCAAGTCAAATTCTTCTTGGGTTTTGTTTTTTTAATTTGTTTTTATATGCCTCTAAATTTTGTAATCGTAGTCTCAGGTCAAAAACACATCCAAGTACAAATTTTGTTTGTGTAGAATGTTTTTTTTAGGATTAATACATGCTAGCATGTCCCTTTCGAGGTAAACAGTGCCTGTGTGTGAAACATTTTCATGAGTTCCTCAAAGAAAGAAAAAGGTAATGTGGATTGGATAAAAATGGATGCTGAAAGAAATGTTTCCAGTCCAATTCAAAGAAAACTGTTCTGATCCACTAAAATCCAGGAAAGCCTCTCTTAAATTGGTAACCTTCTATGTATATTGGACACAATTTACAGAATCAAATCAAATCAATTCAAATCCATCTTTATTACAGTCATAAAACAGCCTAATTTTTTTTTTAAAATCCATTCTGTGTGGAAGGTGCCATATTGGGGAAGGGAAATCCAGGAAGAGCCAAAATGGTCAATTCATTCTGAAATATGTAACTGGTGAAATACTAACTATTCCTATGAATAAAATGAGTGAAATGGAAATATGGCTTGTAGGTCATGGAATGACAAGCTTTGGAATGCAATAAGCTTTTGTGGCTCTTTGCAAACTCTACCATCACAAATCTGAGTCACATCACAAAGCCAGAAGAGACGGAATATCGCCCGGTTGCCTAGGCAACCAGGTGATTTCCCCTGCTGTTCCCTCACAGGCTGTAGCAAGGCCTGAAGAGATGAGCGGTATAAGCATACCCTTGTTGTCTAGGCAACACAGGGATGAGCTCCCTTCCGCTGGCCTAAGCATAATGAGCGACTTTTGTCTTTTTTGAAAGTCCCCCCCCCCTCTCTCAGGCAACGAAAAAGATTGAGACATTTTTAGCCAAGAATGAATCCAGAGAAGTGTGTGTGTGTAATTTAGCTTCAGGAGTTTAGCCTCCCATTTTCCAAGATAATTGGCTTCCCTATTTAACTTTTCTTGCTTTAAGGAAGATTTTTTTCCCCCCTCTCTAACATTCAACTAGCATTACCTTCCCATGATTTAAGGCTACCATTTCAGGTCCAACACTCTGGGGCATTAAGGAACTTTTTTGGCTAGGATATCACAATATATGCTTCTCAGAGTTGAATAGAGCCAGTTTCCTCAGTCTCGGCTCATAGGACTCATTTTCCACTCCTGACCATTTTTGTAATATATCTATGAATTCTAATTTCAAATCCTTCTTGAATTACCTAGAACAGGATATTCCATGAGGGTCTTGGTGCTCTCTGAGCGGGGTTGTTTTCTTGTAGACTTTTCATTACCCAACTAGGTAACATCATCAGCTCTGTTACATATTTGGGTGGTGAAATATCTGGAAGAAAACAACCAAGCTAAAAGAGCACCAAGGACCCCACAGTTCAACCTTGAGCTACAAATATTCTCTTCTATTGGTTATCTCATGAGGTGGTATCTCATTTTTTAAAGGCAAATACCAGTCACTCATCACAAAATCTCCAGAACGATAAAGCCTACAAATTTGAAATTTTGCATGAATGCTCCTCTTGGCTTCTAGGTGCTTGCTAAAAAGGATTTTTTGAAATGACCATCAGATCATTAGTATTTCATATACAGTATTATATTCACCCACTCTGATGCTAAGGAGTTAAACATTCTACTCCCCACCTGAAAGGAACTCTGTCCCAACTGCCAGTTGCCTTATATTAACACGCTCTGATGCTACGGAGTTACACATTGTACATTAAGTTTCAGGCTTTAAGTGTCAATTTATCACGCCTGATCACATAGTTTCATGGGGAAGCATAGGCATACAGCTAGTACAATATACTGTAAGAAGGCTCCTGCTAAGGACAGAGCTACCTAGCCCTTCATTCTGTTTCCTGCAAAAGCAAAGAGGGTAAGAAAGGGAGAATGTTCTTCATTTTAGTCCCAGCATATTTCATACTCATGAAACCTCTGAATTAGAATATTCCTATTATTAACTATTGATCAACAAAGGAAGAACGACCTGTAGTCTCCCACCAAACAGCTCACTGGATGACCCAGATACAGTATTTAGTATTAAAGGACCAGAGGATCATTTTCTTTATGCTATACAGTAGATCCTTTTGTGAGCCTCAATTGGGTCTCCTAATTAGCCACTTTCCCCTCTAAAGTAAACTGCCTCACAAGCAAGTGATGCAAAAAAGGAGTTGCAAGGGACATCATGTTCTGAAGCACCACAATAACTGCTCACTGTGAATGATGAGCAGAGACTAAATGTTGCCTTTACGTTCATTAAAAAGACCTGTAAAAAAATATCCCTTGTATACCAGGCTGTTCACATTTCTAATTAAAAGCTAAGACTTGCATTCCACATGGATAAAAATCATTTATTAAAACCCGGAATGCTTTTCTGTTAGATACTAAATGCAGTCAAAAGTAATCCTGGCGGTATACAGCTTATTGTCAGTCACAGAAAGCATAAGATTGCTGCCATGCTGGTGCTAACATGTTGAGAATGATACGCTGGGGTTTTGTAAAATCTCTCTCCGATTGTGTATATGCACACCTTCATCATGAGCAGAGAGGAACTTCAACTTTTACCATTAAACATCTGCCCAAACATTCCAGCTTTTCCTCATATCCTGGATTGACCATGTTTTGATCTTTACATCTAAAATAGGGATCTCCAACCTCGACAACTTTAAGCCTGGCAGACTTCAACTACCAGAATTCCCCAGCCAAGCTGGCTGGGGAATTCTGGGAATTGAAGTCCACCAGGCTTAAAGTTGCCGAGGTTGCAGACCCCTCTAAAAGAAACCTGGAGACATTGGATAATTTCAAAAATTCAATGCAAGGAGTGAAAAGAATTGTCCCCAACTATAAAAATCCATATTATGAAATCACAATAGCTGATTAGGTTAAAGGAGTCCAAAAAGTTCAACCTTCCCAGTATAATTGGAAGTACTAGTATTTTCAAAGTTGGTTGTTTTCGAACCTTTGTGTAAAATGGTCGCTGTAGCCTTCTCCCAAGCTCAAGAGATGTCTAATTATCATGAATAAATGTACATAACTCAAAACTCTATGATTTACCTCAGCTTTTCTGAAAACTGTGGCCCCTCAACACAGTTTTAGAACTGACATAAAAGCAGATTATGATTCTATTAAGGCATTAAAGGTTTATCTTTAAATCCCCTTAACTGCGTTTTGAATTAAGGAAAAGTGTTGGGGGAAGGTACAATTTTCAGCTTAAAAGTGAAACCTTCACAGGATATAAGTCCTGTTCCTAAATAAGTTGCCATTGAACAAATAAAAGCTCAGCATGAGTCTAGTCCTCTTTGAGGAAGAGCCGTGCAGCAGAAGGCAAGGGGGGAGAGGCTACATTTATAAGTCCCAAATGTAAAAGCAAACAAAATGGATCCTTTGAGTAAGCTCTGTTGGCATCGGTTATGATTTCAGCAGACTAATGAGGCCTTGCCCTGCGGGATGGCATCACTGGGGGGCATATTTTTCTATGTGCAGGCTCATATGCATTGTTGCTGCTGGGATAATATGCATGAGGGATTTGCTAAATGGCTCATTAAACAACTTGACAGTCTCTCTTTGTATCCCTAGATGAATTTGAAAACTGCTCAATTATCATGAAACGAACCACCCCTTACCATCTAATATTGTCTCTCAAGTGGGGGCAATGGTCCTTATTTCCACGTAGTGGAGTCTATTGTGGGATAAAGCTGAGAACTAATTCAACACTGCAGCTTAAGCAATAAGCTGTCCCTTCCTGCCCATTTCAAGATGCCACTTATCAGCACTGGAAGGCAGGAAGCCACATACAAAATGACCTGTCTTTCTGGAGTTAAGTGACACCCAACAATGGCCAAGTCTGTGCAAAGCTTGCCAGCTGCTATAAAGCATGCCAAATGTTTACAATCTGGTAAAAAGATGAGTTTTGTGATTTTAAGTTTTGGGGTACTGGATGAATTTAGGAATTGGAGGAGAGTTTTTTCAGGTTCTCTGGGAAAAATTTTGGCTTTGGGAGAAAAGTTTGGGTTTGAGCATTCTTGGTGACCCTAACTAGGTATTTTGTTCTCAATGACCTTAAGGTTAGGGCAACTAGTACCTTCATGCTCCTCCTATGGACTGTTGCTTCCAATTGAGCTACCTCCTGGAATACAACTGATCCCGGACCTCTGCGCTTTCCGAAAGGCCCTGAAGACTTATTTATTCCAACAAGCTGGCCTAGCTTAAATGATTTTAATGGGTTTTTTAAATTTTCGATTTTATTGATTCTGGGTTTTAAATTGGGAACTTTTCAATTTTGCAGATCTGGGATTTTAAATTGGAAATGCCGATGATTTAATTTATTTTAGTTTTTTCTTAACTTTTGTACTATATGTGTTTTAAGTTTGGCTGTCCACCACCCTGAGTCCCCCTGGGGAGAAGGGCAGTATATAAGTTGAATTAATAAATAATAAATTAATTAATACACCCTATTTTAGTTACATCTCAGCCATTTTCTGCAGAAGGCAGGTGAGCAACACAAGGCAAAATTGTGTATAAGGGAATCTGTGGGACAATATTGTGGGAGGCGGTCCCAAACAGTTGAAAATTATTCATTTTCATTCTAAAATGGTTCCCACACAGAGTCTAGAATGTTAATTTCTTCTGACCAACCACAGTGAAAAACCAGCCATCTGTAGTACTGCATATTATTTGGGGCGTGGGGGAGAGAAAGCCTTATTGACTTTTTGAACATGTTGGATTGAACATTGGATCAATCCCTGTCTAAATAAAAACAACAAATCTGCCTGAAGGACAGTTGAAACACATCCACAG